CTCATCCCGCCATCTTCTCCCGCTCCGTCGATCTTCCGACAGCCCTTTGTGGAACGCGACACGTGGACAGTTCGCCCCTGCTGTGCACTGAGAAGGCACTATATAGCGTCGCGAACGCGGGTCATAGAATTAAAGCCCTCCATCCGTCCATCCACCCCGCCCCCGTCCATCTTGCCGCTCCCATCCACGATAGCGATTTTGAGATGGACGCCTCCAACTCTAACTCCAACACCAACTTGATCGGCGTCCCGGTGCGTCGAGCACGATATTCTCCAACGTCCCAGTTGCTGATGAGATCGAGCAGAACGCGAACATGGCCCCGCCGGCCGTCCCGACAACTGTTGCGCCCGCGCCGCCCTCGACCATTTCGTCCATCTCCGACATGTTCGACAACCTTTCCATTGCCCAGCAGCCCTCCGGCGATGGCGATGTGCCGATGGACACCAGCGGCCAAGGCGCCCCGGTCCCCGCGGGCGCTTTCACTGACTATCCTACTTCTGATTTCCGTCCTGGGGAAGCGACGGTGCCAGGTGCGTCCTTCGTTCATGAGATCGCCGAGGCCCATGCTGATGTAATCCGCCTAGCTTCGCGCCGCACCAACAACCACTCTTCGGGTAACGTGCGCAGCGCGCCATACCCCACCAACATCTCTCAGGCTGCCGCCCCGGGCGCAGTCCTGACATACAACCATTCTACATCGACCAGCGCCACCCACATGGGAGGTGCCCACGCAGGCGGCGCGGGCGGAGTAGCGCCGTCGCACATCAGTGCAGCGCCGGCTGCGGTTCACCGCGCCGCCGCGCGTCGTGCCCAGCGCTTCCAGCACATTTGCCCCGCTTGCGGCGTCTCGCTCGCCAGGGAGGACGGCTACAAGAGGCACGTGAAGCATTGCCAGGGGAGGAACGGTGGCAACTCGGGTCCGTCGTCGCGCCGTGGAGGAGGGCCCGGACGTGGATCTGGAGGCGCAGGGGCGGGACCGTCTTACTTGATGGCTTACTAGGGTGTTCTTCCTACTGTTCACGACAAGAACGATTGCTACAATTCGTATGGACTGAATTAGCTTGATTTCTCGCATGTAGAGCTCGTACACGGAACAGCTCACTTCTCATTTCCGAACTGTAAATCCCTACTCAACAAATGTAACCATGTTTCCCTCTGAGACCTGTTTGATCAGTGTGATAAAATCGTCTCGATCATCTTCGAACATGAAGTGGGCAATCGGTGACCATCATGTGTACTTGGAGGTGTGTGGCGGACTCGATGGTGGGATCGCGTTTGACGCGGACTCAGGGACATGCGGTTCGGACTGGTCTGAGCAAATACGATTTGGCATGCAGCAGATGGGATGGAAAGCAAAGGTAGGCCGGTCGTTAGATCCGCGGACAGGAGGTGAAAGTGAGAGGTAGGATATCGCGCGTACATCGAGAGATGAGGCTCACGCCTGGGAAACAGAACTTGTTCTCGCCATAGCACGTACAATGGACAGCGCTACTCTCGGATGCCTATATAATAAAAAAAATTGTGATCCCCAGTACTGGAGGCGGTTTCTCCAAACCGCTTTCAAACCGCCTAAAGTACCAATTTCCGTCCCGCCCAATATCTACGCGAATTTTTGCCCGGCGCTGCAGGTCTTGGCGGAGCTCAGTCGCGTTCGTGTCACGGGTCAGCGGCTAACGCGTCTCGAGGAAGGAGCGGGTTCGATTCCCGCTCTCAACGCAACTTCCCGCACCTGCACGCGCGGACTCCGGAGCTACGAAATAATCCAGGTATCTTGTATTCTTGCCGCCAACGTGTCTCTGAGCTCAAACCGCACTACGTATGACTTTCTAACAGGGTACAATGTGCAAAAGTGCGAAGTGTATGCAGCGACAACGCGATTTCACAGAGGGCACTCAGTAGTAGAGAACGACTGCAACGGACATCGTGTACCTTGACAGCTACTATCGATCATATGAACCGCTGGGCAGTAGTGGAGGGAAGGCTCATGAAGCTGGAGACCTTTTGAACAATTCTCAAGAGGGATAGTGTCCCAATAGTCAAATGAAGACTCCACGTGGGAGGTTTTTCGTCCGAACACCTCGAACGGCGACTTCTGGGCGATGTGGGATAAGTCGACGTATTCCATGGTGAGGTAGACTATGAGGTAGGTCACATCCGTGTCAAGCTGCTCTCCAAAACAGAACTCCTGTGGCAAGCCACCGCCATCGCCATAACCGATGGTCAGGGAGCCTTTCGCCGGGATAGATGGGTGGGCCTCACGATTGGCGCTACGGCGCGTCTTCGTCTCCATTCCTTCGCGGAACGAAGTTGTGCGGACAAATCATCTGAACCAGACCGTTCGAGCTACCGATTCGCCACTCTTTGGGCGCGGGTGTTTGTGCTCCATGTCCTGAGCATTCCATTGAGGAAAGTCATTGGAAAGAGCGATGCACCATAGGAACGCGAAACACACGAATATGAGGATAGGGTCTCCCGGCTGAATCCGTTCATCTGCAGCAAACGAAAGAATGCACGCTGTGATATGATGGCGAGTGGCCCGTTCGTTGAGGGGGTTCATGATGGGCGAAGAGGGTACAGCCAGGTTCTGTCGGAGATAGTTGTCCATGTCGCCGGCATCTGCGACCGCGCCACAGAGATCGGGTATGTCAGGACATTCGTACTTGTCGATGCCAATGATCAGGGCAAAGAATGCCGTGCGACTGCTATGCAGAGGTTAGGAAACGCGACATATCTGTGGGTATGGTCTCACATACGACTCCATAGCCTTGCAAACCTCCACACCTAGAAGTCTGTACACCTCCACGCGATAGCTGTTCCAGACAATAGTAGACGTCTTATGTCTAGACGTTTACAGGACAATGCAGGTAGGAGTGCGACTGTGCGAGGAGGCTGCGGTCGGATTGAATGCCGGGTAAGTCTTGCGCCAGGTTGAAGCAAGAGCGTCGATGAGATTGAGTTATCGTATGCATTAGGCCACGAGGTCATTTTGCATCGTAAACGCCTCCTATAAGGGCGATTGAGCACGGTAAACAAGTTGCATAAAAGAGTCCGCCCTCCTGCACCGAGACATGGTGGACAGAGGGAAAAGCGCTTGACGACGCTGCGGCGCCGAAAGTCGGGCGTACCGCCGTTCCCACGAAGTATATATCTCATGCGGTTCGGTTTGAATGCGCATCACCGCCCTCGCCTCCACCGTAGCCTTCAGTCATACTCTTAGTACTGTAAGACTCTCGACATACGTCATTAAGTGCGCTCGACTTCACGTTCCCGGGATCGGGCCGCAGGCTCAGTCCCCCAACTTCGTGCTTCTTGAAGTTCTTCCACCTGCATGATCTCCTGTGGATCACTGAGTTCATTCACGCAGCAGTCCGACAGCGAGAGAGGCAAAGTAGAAATAAGGCATGTACAGAAACAACAACAGATAACCCCGAACCAGATGAGCTATAGTGCGCGTACAATCGACATGTGAGCTACTACAGATCGTGTCGCAAAAGAGGATGAAAAGAGGGAGGGAGAGAGATGATACACAGTAAGATGATGACAAAGACGTACAGATACTAGAGTAACGTCCGTTCAAGAGTGTGAGGGAACAGTGTCGGCTACTATGTACAATTATCGTCGTGATCACGCCTTCAACGGGTCCTCGCTTTTGTCGAGCAGTCCCTCGGCCTTGACAGCGTCGGACGGCGCGTCGCCACCGGGCGTACTCGTCAACTGCTTCGGCGCCTCCGAAGACGCTGATGCATCACCGTTCGACAAGGGTGGCGGCGGAGCCTCGCCCTGCTTGCTACTGGAAGCACCCTCCCGATCAGCAGCAACCTCCGCGCGCGTCTTCTCCGCATCAGACAAGTCGATGACAGAGTCGAACGGTTCCTTGAACGCGTCCTCATCGTCCTCCGCTTCCTCGAAACGCAGCTCTGCATCGTCGCGTTCCAGCTCTTCGAGCTGCTCCTTCAAGCTCTTCGTCAGATCAGGAGGCGCCGCGCCGTCCAGACCCGACCCGGCATCTGCATGCGCGCCGTAGTAGTCGTCACCCTCCACATCCATATGCTCATCGTCGTCCTCCGAGTCGTTCTCTTCAAACATGAGCGTTCCGCCTTCGGAGATGATGCCCGTCCCGGGATGGAACGAGATCCCGCTCCCGCTCAACACGCGCGCGAGCCCGCCGAGCGGCTGACTGGAGAGATACCCTCCACCGCCCATCGCATCGCGATCGCGGCTTGCCGCCTCCCTACGCGCGCGGAAGCTCATCAACCTGTTGGTAGCGTAGATCTGCGGGAGCTGGTCCGGCGTGTTGAACCCGTAGTGGTTCTGCACACGGTCCTTGATCATGGCGTACCATTCGTCCTTGGTCTTGCCGTTCAAGAGCGCGACGATCATAGCGGTCATGTTGTCGCAGCCGATACCTGCGCCTGATGTGGTGTCCGGCGCGAGACAGAGCTCGCAGAGGTTTTCGCAGATCTCTGGGAGGGATTTGCCTTCGGATATCTGTAGCCGTACGATGTTGATGACTTGTTGAGAACTCAAGCAGTCCCAGATACCTGGGCATGATACTTAGCAAAGGGCATGACAGGTTGCTAGAACTGGGCATACCATCGCACGCGATAACAACAAACTCGTCGTCCTCAGTGATCTTGTGTTCAATGACATCCGGGTTCGCAGTGATGATCTGCGCTTCGGGAGCAATCGAGTAGTTCTTCTTGTACTCGAAGTCGCCCAGAGCGCGCGCTAACGCAAGGTTCCCGTTCACGCGACCAAACTCGATGTATCCACCAGCGTTAACGACGCGCGTCCGCTCAGCTTAGGCGAGTTTCAGACAAAGGTGTTCGCTAGTGAAGGCGGACTGAGAGAAAAGACACGGACTCTGATTCTGCGGCTTGTGATCGTAGCTGAGCGCTTTCGCCTCGCCCTTGACGCTCATCACGCTCCTCGAGTCACCTGCGTTTGCCTGTTCGGGAACTGTCAGCGCTGCCAATCAATAGATGCGCCCGGGGAGGAAGTGCGGCCGTCTAATCTGGGGTGGAGCAGATGCCAGATAAACATAGCTGACGGCATTGGGGTTCGTTCATCAGCCTGATGGCAGAAAGACAGCAGACGTGGCGGGTTCGAGAGGCGGGCAGGCAGTCCAGAAGTGATGGGGACGTACGCAGAATATCCTACCGTCTTTTGTGATAAGGGTCGCCACGGCGGTACAACCTGACGGCTCGCGAGTGTACGCGGGGTCTACAATTATAACATCAGATTGATTGTCAAGAAGAGACGCGAACTTCGGCGGAGACGGTGAACGCACCAGCAAGCATGTCCTCATCTGTGCCGAGAAAGGCGCGCCTCATCGCCTCTGACCAATCCTGATTGCGGTATGCCTCCTCCTTTACAAGACGTTTGTGGACATTCTGTCCCGCAAATCGCGCGACGGCGCCTCCTACAGAAACACGCGTACGATCAGCATCTAGCGCTCAGACACGCGTATCTCCACGCAATGCGTCAACGCGAATTCGAGTCACGCACCACCGTGGCCGTCATAGACAGCAAAGAAAGCGTTGCCATCGTCCGCATCCTCCCCCTCTCCGTCTTTAAGCTTCAATGCGGTCGTGTGCGCATCCTCCATAGCTGTAGACGTGACATCAGATCAGCTACCGTTCATATACACGCTCAGCTTCAAGCATGAGCTCTGCCATATGAGAAACCCTCAGGCCTCGTCCAGCACTCTGGCCAGTCAGAAATTACAGCGACCAGCCAGGTATGCAAAAGCGTCTGGGCATGTCTTCGTGTATGAGCGGCAATGGGCTACTCACTGATGCGCCATCCCTGCATCTCAGAAACTCCATAGATATACCGGAGGTCTTCGCCACTTTCACTGTGTTTGTCCGTTGCTACACACGCCCAGCATTAGATCACGAGTCCCTTTTGTCACAGTGAATAGCAAATAGCTCGCCTGGGTTGGATAGTGTTTGACCCTATAAACACGGACAAGTTCAGTCAACATGATGTAAAACGCCGCGATGGAGCACGCGGACAAAGTCGAACGTGATACGTACCATCGCTAGTTTATTTCACTCGGGTTGAAGATCGTATAGAACAAGAAGTCAAGGGAACGGGAGGGAAGAAGGGAGGGCAGCGGGTAGCGTGATGGGGGAACGAAGCAGGTCGTGTGTCGGTTCAAGAAGCGAAGCCAGCTTTCGCGAGCGATGTCGCGTACGCGCCGCCACGGCCGGCACATACGCCCCGGATCCTGGCGTGCGCGATCTTTGCATCCTACTATCCTTGGCTCTGATGGGTAGACGCATACTGGCGATCAGCTTCTTGCACTGCTCAAGGACGCTGATCCCAGCAAGGCTGGCTGAAAAATGAGCAGAAGAAAGTACGGAGCGCGCGCGAATTAAGCTATTTGCAGCTTTCCTAGCTCGGACTTGAGCTTGACCCTTGCCCCTGCCCTTCCGCGCAGGCTGGTCCATCCCGACGATCGCGATATAGATACATGTACTAAAGATACACGTGTAGCAATGTGGGTCCCAAGATGTGAGTACATGAATTAAAGCACCCCGCGCAACACGACCAGCTCGTTCTCGCACAAACACGCGATGGCGATCTTATCTCCGTCCCTGACTGACCCAACGCCTAACAGAGCTCCCGCACCGCCCCCTCCTACACGCAAGATTGCTTGTTTGGCGTGTTTCGCCCCGCGGGGCGCGTCCCGGTACACATACACGTTCCCGCCTCCAGTTTCGGTACCTCCTTCAAGCGCAAGAACACCTGAACCGGGGATATGGTGCACGAAGCGCGTGTCGCGTTTTGAGGCGAGTACGAACGCTAGCGCAGAGTAGGTGCTCGAGTGTGTCCATTCGGACGTCTCGCGCGTCGAGTGCGCGAAGAGCAGACCGTCGATGGTGTGCTTCGCCACCAGCGAGATTCCAGCGATCCCCGGAAGTGGTGTACTCAGTACAGTCACTTCCCCATCCATATCGCTCGCGGCCCACTCCGGCGCACATCCATCGGCCGCCTTTGCCCACGTCAAAGCCGTATCATTACCGACTGCCGTATCCGCCTCGTCGTCCCGCTCACCCTCCGCAAGACTCGGCACAGCACCTGGACCACCCCCCGCGGCGCCCGCGGTGAACTTCTCCATCGCCTCCCGGATCTCCGCTAACGCGGATGGATCCAGCGTCTCGGGTACCTCTGGCTGACCCGAGGTTGCATCGAAGACGGATGGCCATCGCGTCCCGCTATGTTGCTTTTCGATGTGTAGCGTTAAGAGTCCGAACTTGTCGTGGCCCTTCGCGTCCCATGTCCAGAGGCAGTTATCGGGCGATATACCGGCCCAGAGACGGGTCGTGGTATACTGCGGCGCAAGCTCCGTGTCGCGTACGCGCAGAGTCAAAGTCTGCGGTGAGAAGTTCACGGAGATGGCGTTGCTAGGCGTCGTAGCTGGAAGCGGAAAGGCCACCGTAACTTCCTCGTTATCCTGCGTCCAGGCATACGGCGGAGGGCGGTTGTCGTTTGATAGGGCATCGAGGTTCTCGCCTGCTCGCGGTATCGGAGCGGCTTCATCTGCAGATGGCTCTGCGTGTGTTGTGGCAGGAGCGTCCATGAGCTGGTAGCGAGCCGCACCAGCGAGAAGGAAGACACTTTCCGCTGCCTCATACGCAACGTAGAGCGGCGCATCCTGGCCTCGTAAACGCCATCTGACGTTCAAGATTCCCTCAGAGGAAGCGCTCGCCAGAGGAAGCTCCGCGCAAAAGACGTCGAAGTAAACTCGAGGTTGAGCAGATGTGGTGGAGATCGTGGACGCATCGTCGGCCGATTGACGGGAGGAAGAAGACAGGATCAATAGTGCCTGATCTTCCCCAGATTTGACAGCTGCATGGATTCGGAAAGGACTGCTTGAATGGGCCTCAGCTGGAAGCTCGAATGTTCCTCTGAGCGTAGACGGTGCACCAGATGTTGACGGCAAGTCCAAGAAATATAGTGTGCCGAAGCCATCCGCAACTGCAAGCAAGCCGCCGTTGAGAAAGGCTGCAGACGCGTACTCCTTCTGAGGTCTCGCAGCGCCATCCGTAAACATAGGCATCGACATCTCATGTAGCACGTTATACGTTGGTTGCAGATCTTCCTATACCATTACTTAGATGCCGTGCATACGGTCCGCAGAAGGCGAACTCACCCCAAATTCGACCAACACAACCTTCAACTCCCCATCCACATACACCGCTCTCCTCCCATCCGGACCAATACACAGATGATTATGTCTTATCCGGCTCTGGACTTCGTGAAACGAGAGCAATGAGCGACCCGAGACGGTTGCCTGGCGCGGGCGATGTGCCGAGTCAAGCACATGGCGGAACACATGCTCGGGCTCTTCGAGCGCGTCGAGCTTGTAGCCTTCGAATTTAGGGTTCAGGAGAGTGCGGTTTGGTCGTGTGGCGAACATGGATGTTCGGGCGAGGGGAGGTTTAGAACGTCATGGAAGCGCGGAACAGACTCGAGTCGCGGGTCAGCGTGCCACTTGACTTCACACCACGACCTCCTTGCTACCACACTCCCTTCCCTGGAGCTATTGCCTCGTGTTCGTACACTTAGTTTCCATTGTATCGTAACATTCCATGCAATCATAACGAGATACATGACATCGAAGCCCACACGCCCATTCATACACGGCCCAACTTCGACGTCTTCGTCTTTGCCCGCAGCTCAAGCGAGTACTTGCGCGGATTAGGTTGCGCGAAGATGCCTTCAATCTCTTCGAGCGTCAGACCCTTCGTCTCAACCATGAAGGCCCACAATACGATAACCTCGACGACGTCCCATACGAGGACTGATGCCTCGTCAGCACATAGTACGGATGTCAGAGCTGCGGGCGAACTCACAAATCACGTAGACTTTCCAGGTTATCTTCTCGAGTGCAATTGGTAGTCTGTCATATGAATGTGAGCATGCTTCGTCGACACAGGCCGTCCAACGTGAGCTACTCACGCGAATGTGTTGATCAGTCCGGCACATTGGGAGACGATATTCACCAACGCAAGTCCCTACATCCTGGTAAGATCGAGGGACAGATCAGCGATGCATCTGGACATGCCTTTGCACGCGTCTCGTAAGACAAGATCTCAGTAGCGTAAATGCCTTGCATGGGTGTCCAACCGAACTGCAAAGACGCCTCAACATCAGCCGTGACGGCACGGGCGTGAAGCCCATGAACACGCACCGAGTAGCAAACCATGAACAGGTAGATGAAGCTGATCCCAGCATTAGACCGAGTAGCATTGGAGGTGTCGCCGCTGAGGAGACCGGTGACGATGGCCAAGCATACGACGCAAGCGCACATGCAGCTCAGCAACAACCGACGCCTTCCTACGCGGTCGACGATAGCACTACCCTACACCCTCATTCAGCCTTCACACTCGCATGCATATAGCACTTGATCACCTACAGTCAATGCGCCAGCAGCGCTCGTGATGGAGTTGACGAACGTCAAAGTCAATTTCTTCGTCTGGTTCGTGATTCCGGCGTTGCCCAATAGCACCGGCAAGAAGTAAGTGATGAGGTTGTTTCCAGCGAGTTGTCCGAAAGAACCCATCATCATGATCGTGAAGCCGCGATAGCGATCCGCCTTTGTACGGAACAGAGGGCGGTAGTCCCACCAGTGTTCTGCAGTATGCTCGTGAGTACGAGGCACGAAATATATTGATGAGATGATGACGCACTGTCGGAGCCGCTAAGCTCAATCGTTTCTTCAATCTCGTCCATCTCAACGTCCACGAGTGGCGAATTCGGATCGTTTGTGCTCGAATGCAACTTGGCTAGCGTACGACGCGCCTTGTCAGATTTGCCGACGGTGTAGAGCCAACGCGGTCTGCATCATGTAATGAGTGATGCGATCAGTCCAATCAGCACGCGCGCACTCACGATTCGGGGCAGAGGAAGATGAAGAAGAGGTTGAGAGCGGCCGGGACCATCTGCACAAGCGGCGTGAGCACGTCTTATGCAGCGCATAGGGAAGACGAGACGGGCCTGGATGAACAGCGGTACCCTCCACGACCAGTCGTTCTCCCATTTCTGCGTGCCGACAAGGATACCGGTGGCAAGGATCTGTCCGACGTAGAAGCTAGAAAGCAATCAGTAATGCGCTAACCTTGAGCAATATAAGGCTGACAAAGAGTTGAGGAAGCCGAGGAAGAAGCCTCGAGACTTCGGCGGGGTGATCTCCGCAAGATAGGCCTTCGCGCCTGCTTGAGCCGTCGCTGTGCCCATACCAGTCATGAAGCGGCCGCCGATGAAGGCGCTCTTGTTCGTAGCTGTTGCAGTGATGATCGCGCCAGCGCTGAGAGTGCATCGATCAGTTATGTGTGTAATCGTGAAAAGAGGGAGCGCACATCGTGATGCTATTGCCAATAGCCATGGCCACGCGACGTCCAAACTTGTCGGGAAAGTACGCTGATACGAGGGTGCGGTGAGCTTGCATACACCGAATAGCCGATGATATACTCACAGGCAGGTAACGCAGCTCTATTGATCGCGCGTGAGGTCAATAGCGAGTGCATAGGCAGTACGAATCTAGCTCACGCAAAGGAACCGCTGTGAGTGGAAGATCGTCAGCTCCATAGACCTGGGTCCAGCGTGTGGCACCATGCTCACGCAGTGTAGATTCCGAAAACAACGCTTGTCGACTTTCCAGCACCTGTCATTCCGAAGTACTTCTGATACTGGTGTAAGGCGTTAACCGATCCCATAACCGTCCCGTCGAAGCCGTTATCTCCGGAGCAGCAACAAGCGCATAGCACGACCAGCCAAAACTAGCAATCTTGAGTCCAACTAGTGCACCCTCACACTGACTACCAACGCACCTGGAATGCACGAATAGTCCATGCCTGTACACCAGGATCGACTTCAAGCGCAGCGTCCAACCTTGCCTGCTTCTCCTCGGGATTTGCTGCCCGCGGAGCGCCCACCGCCGGAACCTCCTCGAGTATGCTCACGTCGGAGCCGTTCTTCTTCGGAAGATCACTGATGGGTTCAACATCCGTCATAGCGAAAGCAGAACAGATAGGCAGACGAGAACGACGCCAACCACTGTACCTGCGGACGGCAGGTGCTCTATATACTGACCGTGCCAAGGACGACCAAGACGATAAGACCGAGTAGCGCCCCAGGCTTCGTTTGATCGCAGGGTCTGCTGACGAAAAGCGAGCGCACAATGATGTGGACGATACAACTTCGAATCAGGAACGGTTCAGCACATGAGACCGATGGAGCAGGTCGGCGACTTCATCGGATATTCATCGCGTGTATAGATCGTACTAAATAACATGCGTGATATCCGTGACATGCGATGGAGATTTACCGATTGGGTTATGGGTCAGGCCAAGAGGGCGCTCGGGCGTGTAACGCAAGACGTACTCAGTCATTGAATGTAATCTTCGTCCCGGTTGGAGGTCGGATACCAGCGCTCTGCTGTTCCTTCAAACGCTTCTTTGCCTCCCACGAAGGGTGCAAGGGTTTCTCCTCCGCGGGCTTTTGTGTCCTTCGCGGCGGCAGAGGGCCGTTGGACTGTGGCACGCTGTGATACGGTTGTGGTGGTTGTTGGTGGCGCGGCACAACATCGCGTCTGGGCGGTCTGCCGGCGTTCGTCTGGGAGGGTCGAGCAGGCCGGGAGTCGCGCCCATTATCCCGCTGCCGAGGACCCTGCCGCTCACCAGCGCGCGGACGAGATCCATCGTGCCCTGGTGGAACGTCTCCGTCCTGACCTTTGTTAAGATGCTTCGCGCCCTTGCCGTACTTCTTCTCCCATATACTGCAGCCGTTGTATGAGAATCCAGTTATCCAATACACCGATATGAAAGGACGTACGCTCTCCGTGCCCTTTGACCACGGCGATTCTTGCGGACTGAGTCAGCAACTTTGGCCTCACTGTCGCTGAAGTCTGAGTCCGAGTCTCCGCGCGTGAAGCCGACGGCAAGCGATGGCAAAAACACAGATTCCGAAGGTTTGGACTTGTTCGAAGCCGTTGTGGTAGGCGGTGCAGGCGCGTCCGAAGACTCGCTCTCCGAATCGTCCTCGTCGTGATTGTTGACGACATTGCCGTCTTCGTCCACAGAACCAGACTCCCACCCATCGTCTGCGACATCCTGCTCGGCTTGTGCCTCCGGTAATTCGTCGCTCTCTTCTTCAGAGCCTTCATCTTCATCCGACTCATTATTACGGGTGACCGGCACAGAAGTGGGCTTCACTCTGGTGGCTACAGGCGTTGACTCCTTGGTGAGCTTCGCCACTTTGGTAGGCCGTTGAACGGACTCCGTAAGCCCATCCTCATCCTCGTTCTCGTTCTCGGTAGGCCCATCTCCGTCGGCGCTGGTCGCAGGCGGTGTAATTATCTTCCGTAAAGAGGATATGGTAGAGTTGATCTCAGCAGCGAGCGCTTTAGAGCTCAGAAGGCGGCTTTCAAGCTGAGCAGATAGACCAGAAGTTGTCGCCGGAGACGCTCGCTCGCGCTCGGCTTCGAACGCCGTCTGGAAGTCGGGATGTCGAGAGAGCACTTTGTCTTTCTTCAGTTTGTTGAAGAATGCTATGGCACCAAGACGTTCATGATCGGCTTCCTGCACATAGCCTTTAGTAGAATGCACGTAAGGAAGCTGTGCGAAACATACTTTCAGCTCTTTTAGTTGACTCTCGAGGTTGAGTAGATCTGTAGCATCTCCAGAAGGTCTGGTTCACAATGAGTTACGCGCTATTCCAGAGTAGAATGTCAAACGCACTTCGTTGTCTTCAACTTCTTCACAAGCTTCTGCGTCTCGAAAGTTTTGGCCTTCTTAGCGGCGTGTTTTGCCTGTTGTAGTCCATGATACTACAATACAGTCAGTAAGAGCAAGGTAGTATCTAGAGCTGGGCGTACGAGTTTTCCGGATATCTTTTGGTGCAGGTCTACCTATGGCTTGTTCTGTAAGGCGCTAACCTCGTACTGTGCCTAGAACACGCACCTGCACATCCTCCCTTTTCCTTTTAACACCCCTCTTCTTGTGCTCCAGTGACATTATCTACGTCTGAGTTGACCAAAGGTGACAGTCCGATGCGAGGGAGTTTGCTGAGAGAAGGGTGGGAGCGCGTTGATGGTGGTGGTGTGGCGCAAAAAGCGCTTGCGCCTGCTTGCGCTCGACTCGAGCGCAACACAACGCGTCTTGTCTTGCCACCGCGACGTTGAACGTGTCGAACATCCACTTAACCTCTTCCTCCTGTCACTCGCCATCATGGAAGAACCTTTGGAAAATGAGCTTCCCAGTCGATTTGAGAAGTTCGACCAGCTGGTCGAATATCAGGACGCCATCCTATCGTGGAAGTTCGAGGATGTCGTCGATGCAGAAACCCGGCAACAGCGGACCAAGGTCCTGCTCAACGTCGAGGAAATCGTGAGCATGACCAAGTCTCTGGTGTCTGGTAACGTTACGGAAGTTGCGTGTAGTTTCGACACTATCAGGAGCAGTCTTGGCTCCTTGATCCGCATTTGGAGGCTTTGGTTCTACCCGTCGTCTCCGGGTTGAAGGAAGAGATATCGCGTTGGATGAAGTCGGGCAGTACAGATGTTCCATATCACTCGACGTTGTCGGATTTCTCGTTTGTGTTGTATCAATACATCAAGTGCCGCGGGTATAAGATGATCGGTATGTCTCTGCGATACCCTTCACTAGACGAAGAACCGAACGCCTACAGTACGATTCTTTCCCCACGAGGTCAGCGACTTGACTATCATCGTTGATTTCATGAAGCGGTTGCAACCGGTCAAGGGCACCTGGTTATGGTCCCTACGATACACAAATCTTCTATGGCTGTCGCTTATCTGTATGCTTCCCTTCGACCTCGCGCAGTTCGACGAGGAGAGTGGCTCCGGGAGGACAGCGTCACTCATCGAAGAGATTGGAAAGAGAGGTCTTGGTCAATCAGGGCTGGAGCGCGATGGCGCTGCTTTACTCCTCTCCCGCCTTTATGCCAGGTCTGTCTGTCCCGTTCAGCACATTGGCACCTGCTGATAAACCCAGGAAGGATTGTGTAGACCGGATGGAGAACTTCGTCGCCTGGGCCCGGGATATAATTCTTGACGAAAAGTCCTTCTTCTCCGTAAGCTCTTCCCACTTTTGATGATGAATGGAGCTTAGCGAGCTCGACAGTCAATCGGCGCTCTACAAACTCTCACGGAGATGATGAAGACGGCGCCGGCAGAGGTCATCACACCACATGTCCCAACTGTTTTGGACTTGTGTCGCGTTACAGAAGCGGATACCGCGCTCATGTCCAACGCCGTTGTCCGCAAACTCAGGGTCAAGTTGATATCCCGCGTTGGTCTGCGTCTGCTCCCTCTACAACCACTATTCGCTCGACGCAAGGGTATGTTATGTGGGATATGTGCATCATGGTCAACGCTCACCGATGACTAGGAAAGGCTCTTACCGCTATTGAGGAACAGGCTTCAGTAGCTGTGGACGACGACTTCGACGTACCAGAAGACATCGAAGGCATTCTTGAGGACATCTTCCCAGCGATTCAAGATCGTGTACGTTCATACATGTGGTGCCTCGAGCTTGAATCTAAGGTCATTTTTAGGATACCGTCGTTCGTTGGTCGGCTGCCAAAGCAGTTGCGCGCATCGCGGAGCGCTTGCCCACTGAGTTCACCGAACAGATCGTCAACAACGTTCTTGGTCTCTTCGACATTCATACCGCAGGGCTCGAATCCATGGATGAGATGTCTGCAACCGCAGAGAGCACATGGCAAGGCGCCTGTCTCACAAGTGCGGAGATTGCTCGCAGAGGACTTGTACCTAGCCAAGAGCTCCCGACATTGGTTGAGTGGATGCTCAAGGTATGCTCCTCCGTCGGACACGGTCATCGCATCTGATGTGTCTGATAGGCGCTGTCGTTTGACATCCGGAAAGGCGCCCATTCGGTTGGCTCAAGCGTTCGCGACGCTGCTTCGTACGTGCTGTGGTCGCTTGCTCGAGCGTACGAGCCAAAGGCCCTGGAACCCTTCTCCGAGGACCTGTCGAGGAAGCTCGTCACAGTCTCCTGCTTTGATCGCGAAGTCCATATACGACGTGCAGCCAGCGCTACTTTCCAGGAGCATGTTGGACGCACAGTGAGTCGCTCAAGGGCTTCAGCCGCATCATCACTGATCTCGTCCTAGAGTCTGTTCACCGACGGGATTGACATCCTTCGCAAGACCGACTTCTTTGTTGTGGGTGTCAGGCGCAACGCATATCTGATATCCGCTCCTCAAGTGGCTGAGTACGTAACATCACAGCACCGTTGAGCTCCTACTGATCCGTAACAGACACGACTTCTACCGGCCTGCTCTCCTCGACCAGCTGCTTTCGGTGACATTGAGACACTGGGACGTGTCGGTCAGGGAGCTAGGAGCACAATCCTTGCGGCGAATCTGCGAGGTAGACTTGCTCAAGCTTGGCCCGGAATGCGCCGTACGAGTGGTATGTCTCCGTTTCTCTTTGGCGGAGCTATCATTGAGAGGACTATCGCTATAGAGAACACTGCTCAATAGAGCGGATACCACGGACATACATGGTGCACTTCTCGCGCTCACAGAACTCGCTACTGCCTTCCGTGATGCGGCAGCGAGTGATGATCTCGAAGCTCGTCGACAAGAGGTGAATGCATACACGATCACTCCGTGGTCCCGTTTTCTCACGCTCAAACCAGATCTTCAGTTACTTGGCGGACGTGCCCGTCGAGATCGTACAGTCTTCCAGAAACGAACTCGTCACAGCAGCTGCATGCATGCTCATAGCTGCCAGCATCTCTCGCGCTGAGATCGATCTGGATACCAAGTCATCCGTTCCGCACTGGCGCAAGATCCTTGATAGCGGGCTCAAGCACCGGAACTCAACTGTACAAGAGGCCGCTGCGTCTGCCATGGCACGGGTCAGCGCTCTGGTAGACTGCTCAAGTATTGTGCAACGATTCATCAAGGATTTCCGTGCGGGTACTCCGTCAATGCAGCAAAGCCTGGCCAGGCTTCTCGGCGTCTTGGACTACGATGCATACTCCCACGCTCTTCCTGAGGCCATCAACTGCCTATTGGAGAGTGTCGACAAGAAGTCCCGTCTGCGCATGGCAAACGTCGAGGCTCGCCGCAACTGCATGACCTCGATCATTCAGATCGTAGCGACTATAGCACCAAGTTTATCATCTCGTGCGTTGCTCCATTCGATCACCTGACTTGTACTGACCACGAAGAACAGACATATCTGCCGAACAGTCCGTCGCTCTACTTGAAGCATTGATCACTGGCTTAGACGACTACACTGTCGACGAACGCGGCGACGTCGGGTCTTGGGTGCGCATGGCTAGCCTCCAAAGCATCGTCGGCTTCCTCTCGATCATGTTTGAACACGCGCAATCTCTTCCAGACTTGGCGGCGTACCTTCCTCCAGACCGATTCCATATCGCAGTTGCAGGACTACTCAAGCAAGGCGTCGAAAGGCTGGACGTCGTTCGCCAGACTGCAGGGGAATGTCTGGGACGACTCATGCGTGCGCCATCGCCTAGCGTTGAGGACCCTCATCGCTGGCGAGTTCATGGTGATGCTTTATTACGAGAGCTATTCTTCACGTATGAAGCTTTCGCACTTAGCTACCGCTTGTGCCAACATGCTCTTAGTGACGCAGACACATCGGGGTGGCAAGATAGCTCGTGGCTTTTCCCGCGCGCCGTACGTCTACTGGAGATCAAAGAGTACTGGAGCTCAGTCCTTAGTGGATTGCTACTCAGCGTTAGCAGTAGGACCGACAGCACAGTGCGTATACTAATCGCGCATCATTGCACGTACTGACGGCAACCTGACAGCAACGGCCTGTCTCCGCGAGTCTGGTGAACTACGTGCGGGGACTTCCCGTCAGTTCGGACGACGAGGGAGCTCTAGATGCCCGCTCCTTGGTGGCATCGCTCATCGCTCATGCCCGCACGAACTTGGCGTCCAATAGCGTCGTTATACCGGTCCTTCAGCTGTTCAATGTTCTTCTGGAAGCCGACGCACTCGATTCTCTCGCAGAAGACGATGCCGGGGTAGAGACGTTGACGTCGCTACTGAACATTGTTTCGCGCGGCGTGGACAAGCTCAAGAACGTGCAGAGAATCCTGGCGTGTATGCGGACGTATGTGTTTAGTTCCTCTGGGCCAACTGATGTTGATGCTTTCGCAGAACGATCAACCTTCTTGCCATTCCTCGCTTGTACGAGAGCGCCGTGACTCGCCTACCTGAGTTCCTAGCACACGCCTTCCCGAAGGTTCGCGCCGACGCGGCGGAGTACCTTTACCTACTTCTGCAGAGTCGTGATCTCGATAGGGAGACCGACGATGTTGAAGAGATACTGCTAGAGACAGAATGGTATGCTCTGTCCACTTGATCTTCATGCAGCTCGTATCTGATATGATCGCTCAGGCTCTCTGTTGATGGTAAGGAGATAGCTGCAGACATAGTGGAAAAGCTTGCATGAACATAGTACAAATGATTCTATACTAGTATGACCGCCGTCGAGCGCCTCCTTGTATATCCATCAATCAGATACCGGATTTGGACATCCGTGCTGATGCGATCACCGTCGCTAGCACGTTGCTCGCAACTGATGCGGTCCAAGCCCACCTGTTATCTCTGCCAAAACCCGTCACCATCATCCGGAAAGGTTGCCAGTCCCTCACGGTACAGTATGCTGCTCCTCATGACATGCATCGTCCACGAGGCAGTTCTTGACGAGTCATTTCATCAGACGTATAAGTACGCATCATGTCCGGAAAGGCACAGTGGGTTGCACCTCCCGATTCGCACTACTACGCGCCATTCGGCGGTTGGAAGGGATTCATGCGCTCTTATGGGCTGAAGACATGGGATGACGACGATATATACGAGGGAAAGCAGATTCTGCAGGGCATGAAGGACGGTGACAAGTATGCTTGGGAGGAAGAGCAGAAGGAGAAGGCCGCTGCGGCTCGGAAGTAGCAGGCATGCTAACGATCAAGTGAGTGCCCGAATGTTGTGATTCCTCGCAATATATGAGCTGATTAGGCGTCAAATGTAGTACCGGTGCGAAGTGTGTACAAAAGAATGTACGCTATAGTGATTGTGGCATTCGCAATGTGAAGATGATAGCATGGAGCAAAGCAAAGGTGAACGATAGTGGTGTGGGGTACGATGCCGCGGTAATCCAATATAACATGTCCATGAAGCCAGAAATCCTCGAAAAAACCAAAAACGAGAGACTATGTGCGAACAATCCGAGTCCTACTGAGCGGCGGCGGCCTCCGCTTCCCTCCGCGCCTGCCGCTTCAGATCACTCTTCCACGTACAGATCCCCCCATCATTCCGCAACCCCAACTCCCGATCCTTCTGCGCTCTCCCAACCTTCTCAATCTCCAAGTTGATCGCCCAGCACCATAGATCGCGCTCGACCTTGCTTCGTGCACGGAAGACCATGGTGCGGCGATTGGCGCCAAGTGTTGGCGTCGCGGCCTTGCCCTCCCCCATTCCAGCGCCAAAGGAGTGCGGGTAGTATAGCAGCATGAAGAGCGTGTCTTCTTCGCGCTCTTCCGCTTCGAGTCCGTCGCGATACCGGCGCGCAGTGATAGGCGCGTTGGGCTTGAACTGCCCTGATGGTAGTGATTGTGCGGCGAAAAGACCGGAGACGGCGTAGGCGTCGAGAAGGCTGATCGTCTCGTTGCGCCGTGGATGGAATGCCGACTGGGAGCGGATGTTGAACTGCACGAGGTGACCTGAGACGATGAATAACTGTACGAGCCTGCGTAGTAACGTGTCAGTGCGTAGTTCAGCAACCTAAGATGCCACGAGAGACGTACCTGTACTTTCCCCGGATACCCGGACGCATGTAGATCCGCCCTGTCTTCGTGACCGGCCGACAGCCCTCATAGACACACCAATTGTACAGCGAGCTGAGGTACGGCAGGACCATAGCGGGGTTCGTGTCCGGTTCAGGCGCGTCGTCATTGTACTGCTTGATATGCGGCGTGATCCGCGGTTTGCCCGTCGCATAGTGCACCACGTCCATCTCCTGCCGCGCATCGACCAGGTGGCGCAGACGCCAATACCGCACAAGCACGCGCAAACGCTCGATCCACTCGATGGCGTTCTTCGCGCTGTGCGCTTCGAAGCGGATGACCTTGCCGTTCTTCATGACGAGCTCGAAGCAGCGCCGCATGCGTCCGTGTGCGCGATCGCCTCCCCGCTGCGACAGCCCTTGCTCGCCGCCCACGTCCGCGCCGTCATCTTCGTCGCGGTCTAGGGGAGCGAGCAGCACCTCGTCAGCAGCGGGCAACTCTGCAGCAGCGACATCGACATCCTCATGCGCAGAGGGTACTAGAACAGACGCCCTGCGGATCATGAGCACAGCGCGAAGGTCCGTCACACCGCGCGCGTAAGAGATCTGGTGTCCTCCGCGGACAACTTCCTCGGCCCGAAGCGCATCGCTCAGGGTGTCTTCGCCTTCCTTGATTGGAAAGGGAATCGTCCCAGGCGGGTGTGGCGGACTGGCGCGTGATGGGAGGATGGTGAAGAGCAGACCGTTGTGCACCGTGAGATAGACGGCCTGTAACTGGCGACTCAACGGTCGCACACGCGAGACGTAGCCTTCGATGGGCGGCGGTTCCAGTAGTCGCGAGCCATCTTCTAAGTGCAAGTACGACGGGAAATGTTCGCCGACGCGGACTTCGAGGTGGACGGGCTTTCCGGGCTGAACCAAGATCAACATCAGGGCTACAGACATGGGCAATGTAGCCGTACCTGTACAAGGGCAAGACCGGCGAGCACGGCCCACTCCCTTTGTTTCCCCTCGAGGTCTTTCGACCACCACACCCAGTCTAGCATGGTCCCGTGGCGCCACGAAAGACCAAGTTGTGCGCCTTCAGCAAGCCGACTCTCAAGGATGAAGTTCCAGTCCGGCAAAGACCGTAGCGTTTGGCGGCAGAGCTTGATCAGGTTGTCGTGGCTGAACACGGCGACGTCACGTTCGTCATCGAGACTCGGGACGTCCACTTTCATGGCGATGTCCATGACGGGAGAACGGACTTCGATATAGGGGGGAAGCTGGCCGCCTAGGCTGCGCCTATAAGACCATATCAGCACATGTCCGACGAGAAGCGCGCAAAGGTATCACATACCACAGATGCCATACCCAATCTACGGCGCGGGTCCGTATCTTGTGTTTGAAAACGAATATGCAGGGGTCGTTCGTGCGATAAAAAGGTACTGATGTCCGCAAGCCTTCCTTTGAGCCGATGGCCTTGGTAGCAATAGAGAACGACATGTCGTTGAACGAGTATAACATTAGTTTGGGTTTAGGGTCCAAGAGGGGTATCACGTAGGCGAGACGCTTGTGACCGAGCATGCGCTCCCTGAAAGGTATATGCTACGCTGGTCAGAAACTGAAAACCGGAAGAGGTAGAAGATGGAGACATACCCAGTTGGCGTAGAGTTCGATTTGCCGTTTCCTCCACACAACCATGAATTCATCCCACTCGCGCGACTCGAGGTGCTGAGCCGTACGGTTCGCCTCCTCATCGAAGGCATCTGCGGTAGAGGGGTCTTCTGCAAAGCTGACGCGCACAAGCATTCGATCTAATAGCTGTCAGGATCAAGAATGGAAGCCGGGCGTGAGGGAACCCACCTCGCATGATGACACCGTCTTCCTCGGACTCGACGGGCGCCCGCAGCACGTCTGGCGCACCAGCAGCCTGTGACATCTGCGCTGCAGCAGCACTGGTCTGCGGTAACTCGTCGCCTGTCCGATTCAAGACTTCGGCAGGAGGAGCAGGCGAGCTCGGGGCGATCTGGCGAGGGCTGGTCTGTATTCGGACCTTAAGCCGCTTCTTCGCTTCCGTCTTGTGGGTAGTACGGAGAATGCCATCACTTTGTGCCCTGGGCGTCTCCGGAGGTATGGGCACAGATTTGGGTATGTTCAGATCCGTTCGTGCATAGGTGGTATACTGTGGCTCGAGAATGGGTGAAGTGGCGAGTAAACCGGAGTTGGAAGAATGGGCGCCAGAGTCTTCGTCGATGGTGACCTCGGGTATAAAGTCGGATATAGGTTCTGGAGATGACGTGCGGCGTATTGCCATAGAAGAAGACTCTGCCGCCGGTTGACTGACAGGATCCAAGGTGCCGGTGCTGAAGTCAGACCGGGCAGTCATGAAAGTGTCGCCAGTGTCCTGAGATACCGCAGACGGTCGATGCGTTTGTTTCCGAGTGGTCGAAGAGGCAATAGAGACAGAGGCCGCAGAGCTAGCCTTGCTCCGCCGAGAGCGCACCTCGCTCACGCTGGGAAGTTCGGTGTCGAGGACATTGACTCCAGCGAACTCGCCGACCTCGAAAGATTCGCCGACCCAGGTCACGCCGCTGGTAGCGCCTTTGGATCCCCTCCTCGGGCGCAGTGCCTGTCCCCACTCGCTGTCCTTCCATCGCCGCACCATCTCCTTTCGCACCGAGCGCTCCGTCTCCACGCCCCACTCCTCTTCCTTCCCTCCCCGGCTGAGAAAGTACCGAAACGCGTAACTCGACAGCGCATCACGGACACCCCCGTCGCTCTCGTCGTCGCTGTCGACGCTGCTGCTGTCGCTGTCCGGTGTACTCGGTCGAAACCATGGGTGTCTGCCTTTGGTTTTCGACCGTTCATGAGTTTCGGTAATGGCGTGTTGGGGCATAGGCCCAATGAAGTAGCGGCGCAGATAATGGTGGTCATCGGTGTGGTGGGTCGGTTGCAGCGAAGGTTCGTGTCGTAGAGGCGCAGGAGAGCTCGAGCTTGCAGCCTGCATGAACGTGGTGGATGAGAGGCAAAATGTTGCGGCTTTCACCAGGCTGTGGACGACGTCAACAGGTACCCCTATTCTCCATCAAACGTAGCTGATCCGGTCTCACACCCCATGTGTGGCGCTTCTTCCGAGACCACGAGTTACGAACCGACGTTTCCATGTAGGAGCAGTTACCGTTTGACGCTTCCGAGACCAGAGGATGGGTCCGAGTTCTAGTATACAGAGGCCATATCATCCAACACTAGGATATCCAAGGAAACAAAGAATGAAGCTATCAGTCAAGCCATAGTCCAGTATGCGTGCAGAACCCAATCTCTAAGCACACAACGTCCCCAGCTCATTGACAAGATCCCTCACGTCCTTCTTCTTAACCACATCTCCCTTGACAACCCCCTGCACCACCTCTCCAACACCCAGAACCTCACACAGCCCCTTGACCTCCTCGACATCCGGAGCCAACCTAACAAGCAGCGCCGCGCTCGCCGCAAGCCGATGTACGACGTCCTCGCTCTCGCTCTCAGATCTGATCCCCTCAACAAGCGCACTAAGCAGCTCGAGATCCCATTCACCGTCCTCGTCGCCTTCGCCCGCTCCGTCTGCGGGTGAGCTCTGCCCCCGTACGCGCGCTACACGCCCGCGCTGGACCCATGCAGCGGCGTTAAACGCTGCGCTGGCGGCTGCAGAGCGAACGAGTCTGTCGGAATGAAGTACGCTTCGCACGAGCAAGTGCAATACAGCCTGCTTCGCCGCCGCATTTGTCCTGAGCAGTGCTCTGGTCTCTGATCCCCCGAGCGCGTTCGCGAGCAGCCGCAGGAGCGTGAGAAGCGTGGCGCGTGGCGGTTCGTCGGCCGCAGCTTCGACGCGCGAGAGGAGTGCGATGAAGGCATGTTGTGTGGATGTAGCGATGGAGGTGTCGAGGATGGCTACGCGCCAGATGTCCAGGAGAGGAAAGAGCTCGGCGGGTGAAAGGCCAGAGGAGAGCGAGCCTGTCGCGCGTGCAAAAGCGGTCGCCACAGTGGGTGGTGCTGATGGGCGAGGCTCCTTGGATAGCCATGGGAGGACGGTCGCTTTCAACTCCGTCGTCGTGGAAGATAACTCCGGCTTTGAGGCGATGAAGGACTCGAGCTTCGTCATCACAGCGCCCAGATTCGGTATCTGCGCGAAGAGGATGGGCGAAAGCGACACCTTCTCGACGGCCGGGAGAGACAGCTTGGTGTGCGGATGGGGTGGGAACGCCTCGTACAAGAGGAGGTCGATCTGCGTGCGTAGTTCGGGCCCGTTGATGCCCTTGAGCTCGCCGCGCTTCTGTCCGTCGAGGAAGAATATGAACGTAGGCGTCGCGCGAACGGAGTACTCCGACGCAACCGCCTGAGAGGAAAGCACGCCAAGGTCGACTTTCACAAAGGCAATCTTGCCCTTGCTTCCTCCAGCGCCGCTCGCGCCTGCACCGGAAGTCTTCTCCCGCGCGAGCTCCTCGAATACGGGTGCGATAACGCGACATGGCCCGCAAGTCGCACTTGTGAAGAACGCGACGGACACCCGGTGACTGGCGAGGATATTGTGGAAGCTTGCCGGGTTGCTGGCGATTTGTATGGGCGCAGCGACGGTCTGGGTGCTGGGTGTGCTCGTTCCTGAGGGCGAAGACGCCGCTCTCTGGGCTACAGCCTGCAAGAGAGATGCTGCAAGCGCCGGGTTCTGAGTCGCCGCGGCGGCCGCGGGCGGCAGTTGCGGTGCAGGTGCGGGACTGGGTGCAGCTCCTGGGACTGGGCGGCGGAACATCGAGTCGATGGTTGGCCTGAGTGCAGCGCCGAATGGGGTGCTGAGGAAATCGCTAGGAAGGTCCTTGATGTAGCTCGGTATGGAGTTTCCAGTCAGGAAGCCGACAGCATCGTTGGTGAACGAGTTGCAGTTGAAGTCGAGAAGGTGGTATTTGTCAGCGGTATAGTGTTCGCGCATTTCGTCTAGATATTCGTTCCACGTCTGCTCGTCTATCGCTGTAGTGCCCATGTCCTCTATATTGAGCGGTCGACCGTGGTGTGATTGGCCTGGCAGTGTTGTCATGATACCCTGGCCGTAGAACACTTCCTTCCCAAAGACGACTACGGATGTGTGCCTATATCATACAACATGTCAGAAGGTCCGTTCAGCTTGATGGAAAGGTTCAGACAGCGCACCATATGCCGTCGATCTGTCGACCAGTCAACTGGCGCGACATGGCGCGAGCGAGCCCATTGCTCAGGTCGTACACATAGAGTTGCACAGTGGCCATTCCCCAGAGCCTAGCAGACAGACGTCTATTCTGTAGTCACAGTGCGCGGTAGTGGAGGGTATAGATGAGAGACAGAGACAAGAAGCAGAGTTAGAGACATCATGATTGTGGAATGAGGACGAACTTGCGCGAACGGCCGCGCGTCCTTGGAGTGACAGTGAGCGGCGTCAGGCACAGCTTCGGGGTTGCTTCGGCGCCCACAAGCGCCTCCACTGTGCGCCGCCGCGACGCGACGCGACTTGCACGACGACTTCCAAGTACTCAGAGTACGGGTGGAGGTCAATGTTCCGCACTTTCGACCAAAGCGCCAGTGATGATGCTGGGCATAAAACGTGGGCGGAGAGGAATACGCGCGTGACCGAAGTACACGGGACACTTATTGCGACTTTCATACCGTACGTTGTTCTGCACTTGACGTCCTGAAATGGTTGAGCTAACGTCCACCGAAGTGCTCTATTATGCTCACCCCATCTACCTCTTTACAAATAAATCTACTTCGAATCGTCCCCTGCTTGGCGCCTGGCGCGTAACTCGCGACGTGTTTCGCAAACCTACCGCGGCTCACGACAAGGCGATGGCATGGCAGTAGGCACCTGGCAGCATCAACACGGATGATGACTGTGCCGATATATTGAGGTCTGTAGGACGGCGAGGTTGCCCGACCGTGTACTGGTGGTCGTGTTAAGGTGCAGGCTCAGGTTCGGGGTTTTGGTGGGAACGTACATTCGCCAATGGTTGCTCATGCAACATCGCATCTGACCTGCGCGGATTGAACATCTCACACGGTATGCCGCGCCCTGCTGGTGGCATGCAGGTAAGGGATGCGTGCTCCTACGTTCGAGACTTCCTTGCGACACGCATGTTGCGTGCTAGAGTGCTTCTCAAGAGCTGGAAGCTTCACCTCGGCTATCCCTATCTCGAGAGATGGGGTACGTGGGGTGTGATGTTTGCGTGCCCTCTGGCCCTGATCTTTCAGATGGCCTCCTATGTCAACATAGGAGCTGTTTTGCGGACGTTTGCGTGCCCCTCGGATTGGACGGGAATAACAACAGCCCTCTATCAGGATGCCGAGGCGTTGCCCTCGAACTATTCAAAGTACGGTAACCCTTGCCCTGCTCTTTGACGCATCGCAGTTTGCAGCAAGGCGAGCGATGTCTGTCAAAACGACATTCGCTCGGCAGCTCATCATCACTCTTTCCCCGCCCCCTGCATCCACTTAGGCCTATCTTTCTAGCTTTTATCACCGTCATGTCCCCTGATTATGTGACGAAGGACGAGAATCTGGACGACTACATCTGGCAGACGTACCTCGATGCTTCCAAAGACGAAGACAAAGCTCGGCCGAAAAACTGGGAAGGCAGCACGAATGGGATACTGACATTCGTACGTACTTCATTGCTCGACATTAAGTTTAGATACTGACCAAGGTGACAGACCGGTCTATTCGCAGCTACTGTTGCGGCGTTCATTGTCGAAAGTTACCCCCTACTATCTCCTGACTCCAGCGACAGAACGAACGCCCTCCTAGAGCAGCTCTTTGTTGCCATTTCGAATATGTCCTCGAACCACCCTGTGTTTGTTCCGGCCCCAGAGCCTTTCTCAGCGCCGTTCGCAGCCGTTGTCATCAACGTCTTCTGGTTTTGGAGTTTGCTCATCGCGCTCATGTGCGCGTTGCTCTCCACTCTCGTCCAAGAATGGTCCCGTGCATACGTGCAGGATATCAGTGGTCGCAAGATCCTTCACGAGGACTTACGAAGCCGTGCAATCGACCATGTCTTCATACGCATGGGCGTGAACCGCTACGGGATGGACCAATTCGTCTCTTGGATCGTCGCACTCGTGCACCTCTCTGTCTGCCTGTTTGTTTGTGGTCTTGTGGTCTTTTTGTTCAGCATCAACTCGACTGTCGCGGGAATGTCCACTGGCCTACTTGGGACATTCTTTCTCACGTATTGCGTCGGAAGCTTGCTCTCCGTCTTGGATCCAAGCTGTCCTTATAAAACGCCAGCCTCCTACGTGTTGGCCACCATCCAGTGGATCATACATCGACTCAGATCTGCTGCAAAAGACCGGCGGCATAAAAACCGTATGGGGTCTAGTGGCGACGAATATAACCTTGATGACATCGTCACAAGACGTCATGCCGGCGTCCGGAAGAACTTGACTGATCATCAATTCGTATTTCTGTGGGTCAATACCTACGCTCATATTCCACGGGAACAGTTCGGCAACCTTGTCAAAGGACTCGTGGGGTTCGTCAAGTCTCAAGGGAGTCCTATATCCTTCTTAAGCCACCTAGGCGCAGACGAAAGGCTCATGCATAGCTTGAGCTGGTACCTGCGGGAGATATACACCTCCATAACATCGAATCCGGAACCCTTGCATCTACAACTTGATACAGATGTCTTCGAACTCGTGGTGTTACTGTCAGAAGGGATGTTTGTTGTTGAAGTGTCGCATCACGGCGAGGATATCGATGAGGACATTTGCACTTGCTCGTTTCTTCTAGACGCCATTGGTGAGATCTCACGAATAGCCGATGTTCGCGGACCGTCTCAACTCTTGGCACGAGTTTGTCTCGCCCGCGTACGGTGGTCCTTGCTCAAGTTGTGCTATACAGCATTCGAGAAGAAGATGCCAACCGTTGGTTCTGGAGAAGTACCTCATTTCATTCGTCATACGTCTCGCTACGGTTTCCGACTTAATGGCCGCCATCCTATCGGCGTCTTATTGGCGACGATTACTGGGTACTATGACGGCAATAGGTGGACACACAGGGATACATCTTCGCTGCTACCTCTGCACGATGACGCTTGCTGCACTGATTGGAAGAGTGCTCTAACCCTCGAGGGCCTCACGCATGTGATAGCATGCAATGCGTTCTCAACGGTTGCGTACCTGTTGGAATCTACCGACGTCCAAAGAGAGAACGTGGAGAACGTTCTCCACGGCTTCTTCTTTAGAGTCTCAACGTGGAACAAGACCTTGAATATGCTAGAGACCTGCAAACAGAAGATGCCGTCCAGTCACTTCACTTCAGTCTTGCGATCGGCGGGATTTGACGAGTGGCTAGAGCCGGGGAGCAAGTTCAACATCAAGCCTCACGATGGGCCCAACTTCAAGTTCCTGACCACAGACCATGCTAAGAGATGTGGACCTCACTGTGTCCATCTCCTCAAAGAGCTCGCGGAGCGCGTCAACTTCGTGGCTTACCATGCCGCCAATGTCACGAGGTCATCGACCGAGGCACTGGCAAAAGGAGAGTCCGAAGTCCAACCTGGGATCCCGCGGTAGGAGACCCTAAGATCCCAGAGGAGTCGGCCCAGTTGGCCTCGGGATTGCATGCAGTCAGCTACTACAAGGGCGTCGTGGCCAGGACGTAGTCTATACAAGATAGTACACCAAATCGATGGAGTTACGCGCACGAACGGTACTCGCGAGTGGGGAGACAGGCGCTCTTTATGCCCTGCATGACGCGGTGGCGAGTTTGAAGATGGAAATCGGCGAGGACGAGTTCGAGCGATGGGTGCCGTTTGTACATTTCGGCGCGTAGTGCATGGAATTTACATGATTATCAATCACCCCAGATGAGACAGGTGGTGATGATGGTTGCGAGCAAGTCGTGAGTGCAGGGCAGACCAAAAGTGCATTATTGTGCAGCTGGGGCTCGTCGAGGTCGGATAGCCGATGCAAACGAACTGATAGGATACAGTGAGTGCTTGGATTTCGACACTCGACGCAAAACGGGTAATCGCACTCACCTTTCCGTGTGTCTGCTGAGTCACGGTACCGATGGATCGCTCTTGTCGTCATAGTACTCGTAAAACCCGTACTCTTCGCTTGAAGTTGCGCTCCTTCTTCCTCGCAGATGCGCTCAACATGCTCGGCACATGCATCAACAGTCTCTCTCGCAAGGCGATAGCATAGAGTAGGATCTTTATGCACGGGGAGTATGAGTCTACGCATAGATATATTGGGGGTGGATAGACCATGGTGATAGTCAGGAGCAAGCGAGATTCGCGAACGGGCGCGCCGCGTCGCGCGGCGCCAGGCGGCCCAGGCGGCGCCGGTGCTTTGCAGTTTGGCCGCCAGCCACGACGGTCCCGCTTGTACAGCATCCTTCTCTGTGAATGAAGGCGTTGCCGCTGCTATGTCGATAGGCAGTGCAAAGTTCTCTTTGGAGTGTGAGTATATTGCCGGTTATGGGTCACCGGATATATGTACCTACCTTTTTCCCCAGCACAGCGTCGGCGTTGTTGTGTCTCCGCTCCCCTCGAGCGCCCGAGGAAGCATCGATGAACTTTCGCCGTCGCTCCTTGGTGTCGATTGGCCACATCGTCGCTCGACATTATCAGTTCGCACAACGCACCATGTTGAGGCATGGCAGAATGGATCAAGGAGGCCTCGCCCTACCTAACGTGTATCAATGCGCCCAGTGCCGTTCAGCGTGTTCATGGGGTGCGCGTCTACACTGTGCGAAGTGACACAGCCTACTTCGTAACGCTAATGGCCCGTGGTCCATCGCGAGGTTAATACATATAGCAGATATAGTTCACCGCGCTCCGCTTCCCCCCCTTCTCCAACTCTTGACGTCTAGGTTGAGACTCGTCTCCCTTCCAGAGTAAGCAACCAACTGCAATTACCATGATCCGGCGCTATTGACTTCGATTCGTAGACCTCGTCTATCCTATCATCAATCCCCGCTGGCTGTCTTCATGGAGAATTTTGCCCTTGAAATCTTATTCGTACACAACCCTGATAGACCGGCTGCACTATTAATTTTGGGGTCCCATCTGAGGGCCCACTTCGAGCGTTACGGTGTTATTGGGGTCCTCCAGAGTTCGGTCGCCAGGTTGCATTTGGCGAACAGCCTTACCACTTTGGGACACCCTGACAAGCCCGCGCGTCTCGCTAATCTTGGTTTGTCTCTGCGCGCGCGCTACGAACATCTTGGGAAGATACAGGATCTTCATCTCGCACTTGCGTTACATCGCTTAGCGCTGTACCTCACTCCCGATGGGCGCCCTGATAAGCCAGCGCGACTGGCTGACTTTGGCGACACAATGCGTACTCGCTTCGACCGCTTTGCCGAGTTGGACGATCTCGAAAAAGCTACTGCCGTACACCAGCGTGCCCTCGATGAGACGTCCGTGGGGAATGTCGAATACTCCGATCGGCTCTTCAGTCTTGGTATCACTCTCAGGACACGATTCCTGCGTCTCGATGCCATCGATGATCTACAAAACGCAATCGGCGTCCTTGAACAGGCTGTGAGCCATACACCTGAGGATCCAATCAAGAGATCCATGTCACTCGAGCACTACGGCAGGTGCCTGGTGGATCGCTTTCGCCGTCTTGGAGAGCTGGATGATCTCGAGCATGCAATTGCGACGCACGAGAAGGCCATTGAGCTTCTGCCGAAGGAGTATCCCGAGAAGCCGAAACGACTTGCGGCTCTTGCCATAGCTCTCACCGACCGCTACCGAGAGCGCAGGGAGGTTTCAGACCTCGAGTGCGCGATGGAGATGAGAGAGCTTGCGCTCAAACTCACGCCTGAGGAACATCCTGACAGGCCCCTACGGCTCGCGGACTTGGCCATCTCACTTTGGGACCGCTATCAACGCCGCGGGGATTCATCAGACCTCGAGCGCACGATGGAAATGCAAGAGCTAGCGCTCAAACTCACGTCTAACGAACATCCTGACAGGCCCAAACGACTGGCGAACTTAGCCGTCTCACTCTGTGACCGCTACCAGCGCCGCGGGCAGGTATCAGACCTCGAGTGGGCAATGGAACTGCAAGAGCTCGCACTCGAACTTACGCCTGATGATCATCCTATCAGGCCCGGACGACTGGTGAACCTGGCCATCTCTCTGCGGAACCGCTATCGACGACGCGGGGAGGTATCAGACCTCGAGCGCGCGATGGAAATGGAAGAGCTCGCGCTCAAACTCACGCCTGAGGAACATCCTGGCAGGCCCCTACGGCTCGCGAACTTGGCCATCTCACTTTGGGACCGCTACAGACGCCGGGGGAAAACATCAGACCTCAAGCGCGCGATGGAAATGGAAGAGCTCGCGCTCAAACTCACGCCTGAGGACCATCCTGACAGACTCGATCGGCTCGCGGGCTTGGCCATCTCTTTGCGAGACCGCTACCATCGCCACGGGGACGTATCAGACCTCGAGCGCGCGATGGAAATGCAAGAGCTCGCACTCAGACTCACGCCCGAGGAGCATCCTGACAGGCCCGGTCGACTCGCCAGCTTAGCTATATCACTTCGGGACCGCTACGAACTCGGCGGGGATGCATCAGACCTCGAGAAAGCTATCAGAGCGGGCAAAGCTGCACTCAAGTTGACACCTGATGGAGATCTATATAAGGATTTACGTCTCTATAACTTGGGTCTCTCACTCTCAGCGCACTTGCAGAGACAACATAGCAAGCGGAATTTTGACTCAGCATTAGATTGCTTCATGAAGGCCGCCTCAGAATCACTAGGCAACCCGTCGGATCGTTTAAATGCAGCGCTAGAATGTGTCTCGCTGTTGTCCAAGTATCCTGAGTTCGGCTCCACAGAAGATTTATTGCTCGCTCATGCAAACATTATCCGGATTTTCCCTGAGATTGTGTGGCTCGGTCACAGCCTTGACAGGCGGTTCGAGGAGTCGGCCAAGCTCGCATCATTAGTGAACGCAGCCGTGTCCGCCTTTATTCAATCGCGCTCGATGTACCAGGCTATAGAGTGGATGGAAGCTGGCAGGTCTCTTGTTTGGTCGCAGATGTCCTCTCTGAGTATGCCATTGGACGACATATTGCCAAATGAGCAGCCTGCACTTGCATCGCGTTTACAGGGCGTGCTGGGAAAGCTTCGATTATCTGGAGACCTGCATCATGAGCGACTGTACAAATCGCAATCCCCTGATGACCTACAGCAAGCCAGCCATGGCAACGAAGTCGCTCACGAAGCTTCTGTCGCCTCAGAAGAATACACTGCAGAAGCGGATCGGCATCGTCGTCTCGTCGTCGAGTATGAAAGTACCTTGAAGGCGATTCGTAGTTGTCCTGGCTTTGGGAACTACATGCGTCCGCCGGAGATCAAGAGTCTGATGGCATCCATTGAACGTCTTGACGGGCCCGTTGTCTTCATCAATGTCGACACCGCCTCATGCGACGCTGTCGTTCTCTTCCCAAACGGCGCGGTAAGGCACATCACTCTACCCGACCTCACAGAAAGCCGGGCGCGTTGCTTGAGGTCTCGATGGATGCAATGCCTCTCGTCTTCTGATCCTCGTAGACGCGGTGCTCTACCTCCCGATCAGTGTATTATCAGGGGATGCTCGACTATGTTTGGCTTGATCTTGAAACGTTTATGGACGTGGGTCGCTCACCCGATTCTTCAAGGCATGAAGCTCGTGGGTAGCATTTGACATTATTCCATCTCTGCGATGCTGATATACCCTTATAGATTGACAGAGAGTCTACACAACGACTTCCGCACGTCACCTGGTGCCCAACAGGACCCCTCACACAACTTCCACTTCACGCTGCGGGGATCTACGATACCACGCTGCCAGAACAAGCGCGCGTCTTCGACTTCGTAGTATCTTCATATACTCCATCGCTGTCTGCGTTACTGCGTTGTCGAGAAGGCCTAAATGCCACGCCCTCAGAGCCCCGTATGCTTGTTGTGGCACAGCCAGAAACTCCGAAGTTGGCCGTGCTTCCAGGTACGGAAGCCGAGTGCGCTCGACTTTGCAGGCTATTCCCAGACAGCGTGTTCATGGTCCACGAAGAGGCTACCGTCTCGGCTACCATCCCCGAGATCAGTCGGTATCCGTGGTTACATCTCGCCTGCCACGGCTCTCAGAACTCGACTAAGCCCACGCAGAGCGCGTTCGCGCTATACGACGGACCTCTGACACTGTCTGCGCTCATGAACACAGTCGCCAGTGACGCAGAGCTCGCATTCCTATCGGCGTGCCAGACTGCCGTCGGAGACGAGAAGAACCCGGAAGAATCTATCCATCTCGCAGCGGGAATGCTAGCCGTCGGATTCAAGGGCGTCATCGCGACGATGTGGTCGATCGGAGACGACGATGCGCCGGTAGTCGTTGAGGCGTATTACAAAAAGCTGCTCGAGCTGAGGAGCACGCCCGAGGCGGTTGTAGGGCAGACTGGAGCGGCGTATGCTCTACATCATGCGGTGGGGGTGTTAAGGGAGCGTGTCGGAGAGAGGAGCTTTGTGAGATGGGCTCCGTATGTGCATTTCGGTGTTTGAAGTACGGGATTCGGTTTCGTTGTGCTGTAGAGTTCACATCATGCGATATAAGGTACTTTTTGTATATGGCATGGGATTGGCAGGTGGTAACGTAGCCCTGGTGGCCGTTCGGGATGAGGAAACGCGGCGAGCCGGGTTAAAGTTATCGGCGATCTCGGCCCGGTCAACCTTAACCTAGATACCCTGATTCGCTCAGAGGCTGGAGCGCCTTTCGCCCGCGTACATCGTCGAGCGAGCATAGTACGGGCGCGTAGTAAGTTTGCACGCGCTTTCGTTGGGTCTTGAGATACCCCTGAATATCGCATGCGCGCGTCGGTGTGTATTATGCGTGACCGGACCACTCATTCTTGTTGCTTCGGGCTGGCCTCGGAAGCGGTTGATAGTTCACTTCCGGTACCAATAACCACATCATCTTAGCTTATATACATAATTTCAATCATAGAGGAGTTCCCGTAGTCGAGGTGCAGCTACGTCCGCCGTACAGGCAAGGAAAATCCATCCCATTGTGCGGAGATCAGCACGCCGATCAACGAGAGCCTTGAGGCGAGCACGCCTGATGCGCCATTAATTGGCCACACTACGTCAGAGCGTAACACGAATCTACAAGTGCACAACGACACTGCAAACCCTCCGCCCATGGTTGGGCCGGGCAGCAGGGCGAGATGGTCGCCAGAAAGCAAGGAGACCGGGCAACTGCGGGCGGCGTGCGGGCGCCGGAAGTTGCGTTGACAGCGGGAATCGAACCCGCTCCTTCCTCGAGACGCGTTGGCCGCCGGCCCACAAGAACGCAACTGGGCTCCGCCAAGACCTGCAGCGCCGGGCAAAAATTCGCGTAAAAATTGGGCGGGACGGAAATGAGTACTTTAAGCGGTTTAAAGGCGGTTTTGAGAAACCGTCGACTGTACTGGAGATCATATATAGGTATTTGAGAGCACTGCTGTCTATTGTACGCGCTTTGGCGAGAGCAGGAACTTCAGTTTCCCAGGCGTGAGCCTCATCCGATGTATGCGCGATATCCTACCTCTCACTTTCACCTCTCGTCCGCAGATCTTACGTCCGCCTACCTTTGGTTGCCTTTCCATCTGCTGCATGTCAAACCGTATGTGCTCAGACCAGTCCGAACTGTATGTCCTCTCCCACACGTCCCTGAGTCCGCGTCAAACGCGATCCCACCATCGAGTCAGTCTCATCACACCTCCAAGTACACATGATGGTCACCGATTGCCCACTTTATGTTCGAAAATCATCTAGACTATACCATCATACTGATCAAACAGGTCTTAGAGCGAAACATGGTCGTATTTGTCGGGTAGGGATTTACAATTTAGAAACGAGAAGTGAGCTGTTCCGTGTACGAGCTCTACATGCGAAAAATCAAGCTAATTCAGTCCATACAAATCGGTTCTTATCGTGTTCAGTTGGACGAACACCTAGTACGCCATCAAGTAAGTTGGTCCCGCCCCCGCGCCTCCAGATCCACGTCCCGGCCTTCCTCCACGGCGCGACGACGGACCCGAGTTGCCGCCGTTCGTCCCCTGGCAATGCTGCACGTGTCTCTTGTAGCTGTCCTCCCTGGCGAGCGAGACGCCGCAAGCGGGGCACATGTGCTGGGAGCGCTGGGCACGACGCGCGGCGGCGCGGCGGGCCGCAGCCGGCGCTGCACTGA